GCGGAGGGGGCACTTCGGGGGCCGGTCCCTTGATCAGGCCTGTTTGCCTGCCCGCAGGCAGCCTTCGGCGTGCCAGTCGCCGAAAAGTCGCGTTTTTCGTCTTGGCGTTTCCCAAATTACGGCCACACCGTTCAAGATTTTGACTTGAAATTTGGAGAGGCGTTTGGCAACGAGTAGGACTACGCGTGTACGTTGGCCGATTTTCGATATCGTGCCCAGGAGCCGAGATACGGCGGTCTCCGTTTTTCGAGCCGATCACGCCAGTAGGCAAACAGGCAATGTCGGGCCAGATTTGACCGGACCGGGGGCGGGCCTGGTCTATTACTAGTCTCTCTACCAAGTTTGAAATTTTTTGGCCAAGCCGTTTTTGAGAAATCGCGATTTTCATTTCGGTCTGCATCGGCTCCCCGCGCGGAGGCACGGCCGGCGGCCGACCTGGAGACTCCTGCTAAGACAACGCCGCCGTGGCGAGGAGGTCAGATGTTAGTGTGCGTGCGCATTCCTCCACGATGGCGGCGCAGAGGACGGCGGCACACAGTGGGCCAGAAGCCGGTGGAGGCGGCCAAAACTCTAGACTCGTTTTGAGCTCCAGCGTCGCTAAATGGGACTCGAACTGAACGTGTGACCCCACCAATGCATTGCTCTCCGAACGAGGAATCCATTGGTGGGGTCACACGTTTGGTTCAAGGCCTGCTTAGCGACTCTGGAGCTCAAAACGCGTCTAGAGTTTTGGCCGCCTCCACCGGTCTTCTGGCCCACTGTGCGGCACGGCGGCACGCCCCACTCTGCCCCTGGTGCTTTGACCTCCCTCTCACCCTCGCATGTCCCACCCCTTCCCTCTGAAGCCTCGGACGACGCACTGTCACTATGAAGCGATTCTGCGCGTCGCCTCGCTCGTTTTGACCAACTTTGCGGCAACACTGCCCCCACCCCAACCAAGGCGGGAAATCACCCTCCGAACTATTCTAAAGGGTAGGCATTATTCCGAAACGGGAATGTTCCTGTAAAAACGGTTACAAGTGTGAAACACATGGAGTGTGGAAAGAATACAAAAATCTCATTCAACGAACGTTAATGAAAGCAGATGATCCGTCGCGTTTCACAACTGCTGTGATAGCCGAGAGGTTAGAGACGTGGGATCGAGTTACCGCAGGCCGGCGTTCGAATACCAGCGTCACAAAAGTTTTTTCGACTTGCTATCCTAAGGGTGGTGGTTCGAGGCCATCCGATCGGAGCCGTGTGCAACAGACCCACATGCCGGAGGTTCGACTCCTAACAAATATTTCCATTTAATTTTACTGCCTCACCCAGTGCGGTTCAAACCCGTAAACGTGAGCCCGCTCCGAGCATGGGACGTGGTGGTCCAGGGAGTAGAGGCGTCGGCTCTCAGTGCTAGGGTCGGCGGTTCGACTCCCCCAACTTCTTGCGAAATTTTGACCGGGTCGGTCGAGTCCTGTTGCGTCAAGAACCCACCTCACGCCGATCCCCTCATCATGGGCCGTGGTGGCCGAGAGCGTAAAGTCGTGTGATCCCGATGGCGGGGTCCGGGGATCGAATCCCATCAATTCATTACATTTTTCGACCGCCTTCCTCCCAGTGCAACTCAAACCCGTCGTCCAACACGCAGCCAGACGTACAAGCGTGATAGCGTAGTGGTCAGAGTCACATTCACCTGGCCACTTCGCTGTGGGTGTCTAAAAAGCAATCCGCTTCGGCGGGTTGGCCTCGGCACTGGAGCGATGGAGTATTTGATCCATCAATCCAGACCATCCGGTGTGTGGTTGCGGGTGGTGCCTCCTTGACTCGTCGGGGAGGCGATGATAAGTCCTTTGAAGCTGGCCTAAAACGCTGTATGTTCGGTACGGGAGCGCCGGACAGTGGGGGTACCATGGGGTACACAACCAACCCTACGAAAACAAGCAGCTCCCACCAAACCTCTTCTCTGTCTGAGTCTCTCTCTGTCTCTCTGTCGTCTCACTCTACGTCCCGCCCCTCAAAGAGCTTCACACTGGGTGCTCCGACCCAGCTGTCTGAGCTTTGGGGTCCTACTGGGTCCCCCGGCGAACGCTTGGGTCGCTGACGGGATTAACCCCAGGTACCTGATAGCACCGGTTCCCATCCCGAACACCGAAGTAAAGCAGGAGGCCTCCAGGTGGCGGTCCATTTCGAGAAGGCTTTTCCGAATAAGCGTTGGCCCCGTCAGGCGTCGCCAGACTGCAGCCAGGTCAGGCAGGGCCACGCCAACACTAGCACAATAGCTTTTATTGCCCCCCGACCGGGGAGGGCCAACGGCACCTCGCCTCCGGAGCTGGGCTCCGATGAGCAGCCGAGCAGTTTTGCTTGTCCGGCCAATCGGCTGGGATTTTTCTAAGTCCGTGTTCATAGTAAAATGACAATTTTTGACAACGCTACCAAAATGCTTGTCACGAAACGGTTCACATTTCAGTGTAGGTGTGAAATGCAGTTTGTCCTGCTTCGTCGAAATGATCGCTCGAATTCAAATTTTGCATGAATAGATCCAGAATTTTGTTCCGCGTGCATTGGTCATCGTTGCAAACATGTCAAGCGACGCGTTAGAAATTTGACTCTCTGGACTAGGCCAGGTAGTCGCCCCCTGTCTATTGTGCCGAGGGCCTCATTCACTGCCGGCGGCTCGTCGCACCGAAGCGAGGATGGTGACAGGAGGATTTATTGCCCCTCAACCCCAAACAGAAATTTTTTGAACGGCCCGTTTTTCAGCGTCTAATCGGACAGAAATGGTCTCCTCGCAAAATCGCGGTTCCAATGATACTTTGAAAAATAGTCCTGCGACAATTTTGACCGAAGCTTCGACCTTCCGTTTTGCAAAAGTTGGAGATGGCTCCGCACTGGCTGCAGTCCGGTCCCAGACGGCGCGCGGCGGCAAGGGTCTGGGGCTCGCATTGTTCCCCGGCGAGGGCCTCGCCCGGCTACCTGCAGCGGGGGCTGCTTCGGAAACAACTCGGCGCGAGAAAGACAAGACATCGCTTGTCTCTCTCTTCTGTTGAAGGACCTGCAAAACTAGTCGCCTTTCGGAAAAACCTCCTGGATAAACCGTTTGTTCTAGCGACACGGAACTTTTTGCAATCAATAGAGGAAGGTCCTGGCTGTGTGGTAAAGGTTTTTCAACCTCCTCACTCTTGCACTTTTGTCGCTGCGCACTTTGGAAAAATGGCCTTTTTCAAGGCGTTCCAGGAGCTTTCCCTTGAACCCGATCGCCGTGAAAATTCTTCGCAACATACCTACAACCTTCATTAACCTGGGTGCAAAATTTTATTGAGCTTCTTCCATTGGTTCTCCCGGGATACTTTTCCGAAAAGGGCTAAAAACGCTAAATTTTCGAACTTGTAAGCATCGCCACGCTTAAACTATGCGTCGCAGGGAAAAACCGCTCGGCAGGATTAGAGAACACACCCAGCACTATCAAATGCCAAAAAAAAAATTTTTGCCACCCGTACGCCCTTAAGACTGGGGAGGGGGTGTAGAGTTCAAATTTTTTTCTTTTCCCTTTCAAATTTCTCAGTCAATACTCGTTCGGTTTCCTTATACGGGGTAGTATGCGGGCTCATTCCAAAGATAGTAATTAAAATTGTGTATGAAACAAAATATATAGACCCGAGCGAGGTGGCCGGTGTTGGTACTAGCCGTGCCGAGCTGTGGCCTGCACCGCCCGCCGCCGAGCCCGAGCTGGCCCGAGTGCCCCGGGCCGGGCCGAATCGGGAGGCATTGTTGCGCGATATTCCGCGCCGTGGCAGGCGGGGAGGGATTGTCAATGTTGCGCGCAGGCCGTGGCAGGCCGTCGCGAGCGAGGAGGGGGTGCCATTGTTTACGCCCGTTGCCGCTGGCGCTAGCGCCAGTACCGAGGAGGGATTGTCGAATCCCGCGCAGGCTGCGCCTCATTGCCAGCCAGCCACACGCACCAGCCCGCCCCGGCAGCCAGCCCCTATTATATTGTTTAGGATACGCGCTTCGTTTCTGGACTCGAGAGTAAAAGCACGCTGACACCTTCATAGTAGTTTTAAGTATGTTTCAAGTGTGAAGGTATCATCTGCTAAAAAGTATCAAAAGCAGCCATCCGTAACAACAAAGCCTCCCAAAATGCTGCCCCGTCCACGGAGTACGCACGGTTTCCCACCCCGGATTATACTCTGACTAGAAAACGAAGAGCCCTGGGTTCTCGCGGTCGAGGACTACCTGCAATGCCAGCCAAGGCGGCAGATCCCATAAACCGCGAAAACTCAGGGCTCTTCGTTCAGCCCAAACCACAATTTCTACTCATTTCGCCCTCCGTTAAAAGGGCATGATCACCACCACCTCGGCTCGGAATAATGAGCCTGCAGACCAGGGCAGCTGCTGATGCTGCCACTGCTCTCCGGGTCGCGCGTGGCGGCCGTGGCGGCCGTGGCGGCCGGGCACCATGTGGCGGATGGCGGCCATCGCCGAGCTGGCCATCGAGACGCTTCTCCAAGTGGCCCGGAAGGCGGCGGCGGTGACGCCGGGGGTGGCGGCGCGGGGCGCGGGGCAGTAGGAGGCGCAGGCAATCTTCAGAGTGGCTTCCGGGTCACGGCGCGGCGGATCAACTCAATTTGCGCGCTGAAAAAGACGAAAGTGGTGGCGCGGCGTGGCGGCAGGCCTCGCCACGGGCCTCCATCGGCACGGCCAGACCACTCGGCTCCCCAACAAGTTGCCGGCGTGGCGCTGTGTCGGCGGGCGCCGGGGCGGGGGGCGAGAGGCGCCAGGGGGTGGCGGGCCGGCGGGCCGGCGGGGGTGGAGAGGGTTGGCGGCGGGGGCTGTTGCTCGCTGGTCCAGGCCAGCAGCCCGGCGTGGTGTTCATTCACTGGCCGTCCCAGCAGCACACTGTACACGCACCCCGTCAGCCCGCCGCCGCAGCGCCCTGCACGGCCCTGCACGGCCCTGCACGTCCACGGCATGCCGCCGCCTCCTCGCCGCGCCCCCAGCACGCCGTCAAGGCCGTGACCGCCATGCCAGTGGGTGGCCTCTGCATGCTGCTGGGCATGCTGGCACTGCTGACGGCGCCGGCCGGCTGCCTCCTGGACCACGGCCTCCACGTCAAGATCTCCTGCTCGGCGGACCCCTCGGCGTCCTGCCACGTGGCCGCCGTGCCCGGCGACGACCAGCCCGCAGGTGAGACCTCCTCACTCCGTCTCTCTCGCACTCACTGGGCGTCCTTCAGGTGCGAGAGAGACAGAGCGACGAGCCAGTGTGCTGGCCAGCGTCGCACAGTGTGGAGTCGGAATCAGCCTGTAGTTTCTGCTCTCGTGTTTCTCGCGGTGCGCAGAGAGCCCGTTGGAGGACGCGCGCCGCGAGCAGCGCGACGACCCTGGCGACTCCGGAGCGGTGACGCTCGGCTTCCTCGGCGCCTACGGCCAGACCCACGTGGTGCTGGGCGCCCTGCCGCTGGCCGTCCGCAGCGTCAACGAGGACCCTACGCTGCTGCCCGGTACGGAACGGAACGGAACGGAACGGGGGACCCCCTCGCCTGCTTCAATGACATTAAGGCTGACGGCACACAGTGGGCCTGGGCCAGAAGGCCCACATTCTAGACGCGTGTTGAGCTCCAGAGTCGATAAACAGGACTCGAACCGAGCGTGTGACCCCACCAATGGATTCCTCGCACGGAGGGCAATCCATTGGTGGGGGTCACACGTTCGGTTCGAGTCCCATCTAGCGACTCTGGAGCTCAAAACGCGTGTATAATTTGGGCCGCCTCCACCGGTCTTCCGGCCCTCTGCACGGCGTGCTGACACCGCGTTCGGCCCTGCAGGACGACAGCTGCAGTACCTGGCGGCGGACATCGGCACCAACCCGTCCGAGTCGGGGCTGCGGCGCCGGGACTCGTCGCTCGCCGCGCTGGCCCTGCGCGTCATGACCGTGATGCGCGACCGCGGCGCCGTCGCCTTCATCGGCCCGGACGACACGTGCGGCGCGGAGGCGCTGGTGGCCACGGCCTGGAACCTGCCCGTCATCTCCTACGTGAGTAAGCCGGTGGGGAAGCTGGCCGCCCCCAGAATGCAGTGGGCCAGAAGACCGCTGGAGGCGGCGGGCCAAAATTCTTAACGCGTTTTGAGCTCCAGAGTCGCGCTAAGCATGACTGGAATCAAACGTGTGACCTCACCAATGGTGCTCTGAGGACGAGGAATCCATTGGTGGGGTCCGGCGTTCGGTTCGAGCCCCATTTTTAGCGACCCTGGATCTCAAAAAGGCGTCTGGAGTGCGGGAGAGCACTGTAATTCGGGTGCCAATGTGCTGAGAAAATCTGCTGAAATGTGAAGCTTAGAAAGCGACCTCAAATGCTCCGGTTGAACAACCGTAATTTGTTCTGGACAATAGACCCTTTCACTCGTCGCCGAGAGAAGAACCAGGCGGGAACCAGCAGCGCGCCACCTACCGGCCGGGTACTTCGAACTGTCAAAAAGCTGAACCCTGAAGGGTCACAAGTTCAAAGCAGCGGCCGCTAGGTGGCGCGCTGCTGGTTCCTGCCTTATACCTCTTTCCTCGGCGAAGACAGAAAGGGTCTCTCTCCTCGATTCCAAGAAAGAAGGAACCTCAAAGTCTGGCACTTCGTTCGCCTCTTGACGCTGCGATGCCGTCAAATTCACTTTGCCTCTCTAATTCGCTCAGCATCCCAGACGACAAGGGGCCGCGGAAGAGCAGCGATCCCCCCCTTCCCCTCCCCTTTGCCTCTAATTCGCTCAGCATCCCAGACGACAAGGGGCCGCGGAAGAGCAGCGACCCCCCCTTCCCCTCCCCTTTGCCTCTCTAATTCGCTCAGCATCCCAGACGACAAGGGGCCGCGGAAGAGCAGCGACCCCCCCTTCCCCTCCCCTTTGCCTCTCTAATTCGCTCAGCATCCCAGACGACAAGGGGCCGCGGAAGAGCAGCGACCCCCCCTTCCCCTCCCCTTTGCCTCTCTAATTCGCTCAGCATCCCAGACGACAAGGGGCCGCGGAAGAGCAGCGACCCCCCCTTCCCCTCCCCTTTGCCTCTCTAATTCGCTCAGCATCCCAGACGACAAGGGGCCGCGGAAGAGCAGCGACCCCCCCTTCCCCTCCCCTTTGCCTCTCTAATTCGCTCAGCATCCCAGACGACAAGGGGCCGCGGAAGAGCAGCGATCCCCCCCTTCCCCTCCCCTTTTCTAATCTGGCTTCTCATTATGCCGACCAATTAATCTGTCACTGCACGGGCGGTGCCATGGCAGTGCCAGTGCCGTGGGCGAGCGGGTTGGTTCTGATAACTGTTCTTTCGTCGCTCTGTCTCTCTCGCACTCACGGGGTGTCCCGCAAGGGTGCGAGAGAGACGGAGCGACGAAAGCTGTTTTCGGAACCATACGTGTGCAGGCCAAGACAAGAAAAGCGGCGAAAGGCCAAAAGCGGCCACGGTGCTCGCCCGATTCCGAGAGTCGTTCTCGTCGCTCTGTCTCTCTCGCACTCATGGGGCGTCCCTATAGGTGCGAGAGAGGCAGAGCGACGAAAACGACTCTCGGAATCAGGCTGGTGATGGGAGACGGAGACCGGAGGCGTACAAGTTCTGATTGAGTCCGCCTGTCGACGCTGCCGAGGAGCGGCGAGGGCGAGGCCCCCAACCTGTTGCCCCACGGCAGCCGGGTGATCCAGAAGAGTCAGATCTCTGTCGCACTCGTGGGGCTCGGTGGAAGAGTGCGAGAGAGACAGCGCGACGGCGGGGGTCGAAGACGGACGCTAGTGCGATCGACCCCGCACCGCCCCCTCGCCCTCGCCTCCTCCCTCGGGTAGGAAGGCACTTGGCGCAATGCTTCCGCCTGCTCAGCCTGTGAGCGCGCGAAAGACGCGACAAAGTCCGCGGACGGGACGAGAGACGTGCGTTAGGGACGGGCCCCACTGTGCAGCCACTGTGCCCGGCCCGCGGCCCGCGCCGCGACACAGTCGTGACACAGCAAAGGGGAGATGGCTTCGGGGCCTTGTTGACGGGGATTGGCGCGCGCCGACTCGACAGCGGCGTGAACGTGACGTCCCCGGCAGGACGTCCGAGAGCCGTCTGTCTCTCTCGCACTCATGGGGCGTCCCGTAGAGGTGCGAGGGAAACAGAGCGACAAAACGACCCGAGCCTGCCGGCCTCTGCCAGCCTCGCTGAAGACACAGCCTCACGGCCCTTTTGTAATCCTCGTCCTTCTGATTTCCCTACGCCCCACCCCCGCCCCCGCCACCGGAACACTGCCGCGACGTGTCTCAAGGGGCGGAAGAGGCTCGTGGTGGCGGCGCTCGTGTTTTAACGACTTGGGGACTTTGAGGCGGTGGGGGCGACATCGCCGAGGTCGAGGGCAGTGCCCAAGGCAGTGCCCAAGGCAGCGCCCGAGGCAGCGCCGGCACTGTAGGGACTGCAGGGGCTGCCCGCTGCCCCGAGGGCGCAATCTCTGCACGCGCGGCAGCGCTGCCCTCCACCCTTCGACGAGGACGAGACCGTCGGCCCCCCCCGCGTGTCGCACAGTGGACTAGAAGACCGGCGGAGGCGGCCAAAAGCCCGGACGCCGGACGGGTTTTGAGCTCCAGAGTCGCTGAATGGGACCCGAACCGAACTTGTGACCCCACCAATGGATTGCTCTCCGAACGAGGAATCCATTGGTGGGGTCACACGTTCGGTTCGTGTCCTGTTTAGCGACACTGGGGTTCAAAACGCGTCTGAGAACTTTATCCATCCCCACCGGTCTTCTCGCCCCACCCGCCGTGTCGCCGCCGTGAGCCGCGCGCGCTCTGAGGGCCGCTGCCCCCGCGCCGCCGCGTCTCTCTCGCACCCCCAGTGGTCCGCCACGGCGCCACGGGCCGGCCGATGAGCGTGAGCACGAGCCCGGCAAGTCGGGGGGAATCCTGCCTGTCCGTCACGGCACGCGTCGCGTCACGCCGCGCCCGTCGTCCCCGGCGCCCTTCTCGGCCTCCTCGCGAGGACCCCGTCGTCCGCGTCGTCCCCGGCGCCCTGGCCGCGCGCCGCGCAGTAACGCGAAGTGACAGGCTTGCCGGGCCTGCCGGGCTCGCCACACCATGGCCACACCGCCCGCCCGGCCGTTCCACCCTGTATGGAAATGGCGATGCGTATAAACATGGGCAGGCCGGCAGGGCGGGCAGGGCGGGGCCCTCGCACTCCGGGAGAGGAGGGAGGAGGGGGAGCTGGGAACACTTATGTTAAGCTGCGACACGCTGCTCGGAAAGTCACTACATGGCCGTCGCGCACAGTAAGTCACATCATGTAAGTACACTCTAAATATGGGGTGCCCAGCAATTGGGCGCCTTTGTCGCCCGCCCCACTTTTTAGGGTGCCAAATGTCGCCCAGTTTCTGGGCACCTTTGTCGCCTAGTCTCGGGGTGGACAAATCATACAGTGACCGGCCCTCTCCCATGGTAGAGCATGCTCAGGTGTCTAGATCCTGGGCGACTAAGGTGCCTAGATTCTGGGCACCTTCGGCACCTCAGTCGCTGCTGAGCCATGGGTGAAGGCAGGTTTCTTAATGGTTTGTCCACCCCGAGACTGAGTGTCAAAGGTGCCCAGGAACTGGGCGACATTTGGCACCCTAAAAAGTGGGGCGGGCGACAAAGGCGCCCAGTTGCTGGGCACCCCATATTTTGAGTGTAGGCGAAAATTCCGACGACATGCACGCGCATCGACAGTGCTGAGGGTTGCCATCGTAAGCCTGTCTACAGTGGCGTGCGCACTAGAAGGTAGGCAAATTGCGATCAACTCCGCCAGTAAAATGGCAACATGGCATGACCCCCTCCCCCCTTTCAAAATTTATGCACATTATTATAGCAGAGCACAGAGGCTGGAAATCCTCTCGTCACTGGTGCATCATGGGAAGTTTTGCCTCCTTGGCAACACTGGCCAGGCGTGACCCGCGAAATACCACCGGGCCAGCGCGGCGCCGGGCGTTGAACCCGCGCCACTGTCACGACGGCGAGCCTTCGGAAGTTGGCGGGGAAAATAATAATAATGCGGTGGAAATTGGCGGACCAGGGAGGGGGGGGCAGCCGGGGCTGTCGTGTCGTAGATTGATTGTTGTGGAGGGCGACATGGAGGCTGGTAATGACCACCCGCCCATTCCCCCCTCCCTCCTCTCCCCGGCCCGATTTGTTTACTCCCGCGATCGACGGGGTTCAAGTTTATTTTAACGAGCCATTAGAGAAAAGTTTGACGCGGCCGGCCTCGACTCCCCCCTGCGCAGCCTTGCGGTGTGGTGGCGACTCACGGGTGTCGCGCGCCCGTCCCTTTGCCTTTAATTTGTATCGACCGCCGAGGGGGAGGGGGAGGGGGCGTTGTTGTTTTTTCTATTGTCGTTTGTTGACAGTGGCATGACGTCACTCGCTCCCATTGAACCAATTGGGCCCCGTGCGGAATGCAAGCCTGTCCGGTGTACCATCCTCGTGCCCGCGGTCTCCGGGTCTCCGAGGCCTCGTCGCGGACGTGGACGACGTGGACGGTATCGACCTGCCGGGCCTGCCGGACGAGCCGCGTGCCCACCATTCCGGAGGCGGCTGCTTCGGGCTGCTGGCAGCGGACCGATTAATCGGCGATTCCGTGCCCTGTCTCTCTCGCACCTTTACGGGGCGCGTCTTGAGTGCGAGAGAGACGGCGCGACCGAAAGGACTCCCACAATCAGTCCAACAGCGTGCAAGGCTCCCGGGGTGAGGGCTACAGTAGCCCGAAGGCCAGACCAGGCTGGGATTCGACACACAGTGGGCCAGAAGCCGGTGGAGGCGGCCAAAACTCTAGACGCGTTTTGAGCTCCAGAGTCGCTAAATGGGACTCGAACCGACCGTGTGACCCCACCAATGGATTGCTCGTTCGGAGAGGAATCCATTGGTGGGGTCACACGTTAGGTTCGAGTCCCATTTAGCGACTCTGGAGCTCAAAACGCGTCTAGAGTTTTGGCCGCCTCCACCGGCTTCTGGCCCACTGTGCGACACTCGTCCGCCCTACCTACACTCTTATTCAGGGGTGCTCTGAAAGTTAGCCTGACCGTCCTGACTGACCTGGCCCACTGCAAGTTATAGCAGTTATAGGGACTACGCTCGGCATGGATACATAGAGGGGGGGGGGAGGTCATAGGACCTCAGGGAGGGGAAGGGGGCGTCGCCGCCTGAGCCATGAACACCTAGACTTCCGCCTGAAAGGAATGCAAAAAGCGTTATTTTGCCCCTTGTTAGTAGACAAAGGGTGCTACTTCGCCCCCACCCCTAAGAAACCCAAGGCCACCTCTGGATTCGCCTCTGGCCTCGGGCTGCGCGTGAGCCTGGTGAGACCTGGTGAGGCCTGGTGAGGCCTGGTGAGGCCTGATGAGTCCTGGTGAGGCCTGGTGAGGCCTGGTGAGGCCTGGTGAGTCCTGGTGAGGCCTGGTGAGGCCGGCACCGGTTCAGGCTTCTAGCTGCCGCGCGACGCGCAATCCTCAGCAAACGGAACAGCAAGTAATTCGCGGACAAACAGTCAGGCAAGGCAGCCCAACAGCGGCAGGGCCGGCAGGGCCGGCAGGGCAGCCTTTATGGCTCCTTTCGCCGACAGAGCCAAGCAGCCCAAGGTTGGCGGCGGCGACTGCTGGCAGTGCTGGCGGCAACATAGAGGAAAAACAATCGAGGCACGGGCATTAAGTGTCGCCGAGCCAGTAGAGCCCCTCCGTCTGGGATCTCGCACGCCCCACCCCGCCCCGTCCCACCCCACCCCACCCCGCCCCGCCCCGCGACACCCCCAGCGAGACCACTCCCTTCCAGAGACGAATCCTTGTAATTTCCAATTTGCCGATCTGGCGGTCTCTGTTCCAGAACTGCGCCGACGCCCACATGTCCGACAAGCGAGTGTACCACACGTTCGCGCGCACGCTGCCGCCCGCCTCCAAGGTGTCCAAGTCCGTGGTGGCGCTGCTGCGGGCCTTCGACTGGGGCAGCTTCGTCGTGGTGGCCGGCAAGCAGCCCGCCTGGAGCACCGGCGTCAAGGACGCCATCGAGGTCTAGTACACCGTGCACACCGAACGCACGTCATCGGTTGCGTGTCGTTATTTTGGTTTTTCTTTTTTTTTCCGCCTGGTTCACTGCTAGCTCAACGTGGTTCATTTTCCCCTCGTTATCACTTTCGTCCTTGGATCCGCCGTGCCGTGCCGTGCCGTGCCGTGCCCTGCCGTGCCGTGCCGTGGTGTGCCGTGCCGTGGCGTGCCGTGCCGTGCCGTGGTGTGCCGTGGTGTGCCCTGCCGTGCCGTGCCGTGCCGTGCCGTGCCGTGCCGTGCCTGTCCCGCGGCCGCGGCCCGTCCGTTCACGACACCGCCACAACAACGGGACTTGGGGCGAACTTCGCCGCGGGGGAGTGAGTGAATGAAGTGAACGCCCCCACAAAGGGACGCCGCGGTCCTCGCCTCGCCGCGCATCGCCGCACAGTGGGCCAGAAGACCGGCGGAGGCGGCCAAAACCCCAGACGCGTTTTGAGCTCCAGAGTCGCTAAGCAGAACTCGAACCGAACGTGTGACCCCACCAATGGATTGCTCTCAGAACGAGGAATCCTTTGGTGGGGTCACACGTTCGGTTCGAGTCCCACTTAGCGACTCTGCAGCTCAAAACGCGTCTGGAGTTTTGGCCGCCTCCGCCGGTCTTCTGGCCCACTGTGCGCAGCCCAGCGGACACGCCTTGGTCCTTGGTTCTCGGTGCGCCAATTTACAGTGCGGGTGGCACGGCAGTACGGCAACGCCCGCCCGCCGGCCGGCCGGCCGATTCCGCACAGCAGACTGATTCCGAGGGTCGTTTTCGTCGCTCTGTCTCTCTCGTGGGGCGTCCGGTGCAAAGGAGACGGAGCGACGAAAACGGCTCTCGGAGTCAGTCCTCAGACTCGCTCGCGCGCGCGCGCGAGAGAGAGGGGGCGACGAAAGCAGTGTTCGGAATTAGGTGCCAAGACACAAGCCACGGCGGCAGGCGTCCTTGTGTGTGGCGCCAGGGTGCGCCAGCAGAGTGAGCCCGAACAGTGTTTACGTCGCTCTGTCTCTCTCACACTCGCGAGGCGTCTCGTAGGGGTGCACGGTAAAAACGGAACCTGGTTTTCCCAGGAACTCCCTGGAAATGGCCTATGTCTCCACCGTAGGCTTCCTGGGAAAACCAGGTTCTGCTTTTACCGTGTGCGAGCGAGGGGGACAGAGCGTCGTGAAGGAGGCCGCCCACGGTGACTCCCTGAATTATGCTCACCATACGTGGGCGTCTTTGCACCACCCTCTCCCCCTCCATCCATGCGTGCGGAGAGCGTGATTCCAGTCAGCGGTCTCCCCTCCCCTGCAGACTGATTCCGAGAGTCGTTTTCGTCGCTCTGTCTCTCTCGCGCCCATACGGGACACCGCATGAGTGAGAGAGAGACAGAGCGACGAAAACGACTCTCGGAATCGGAATCAGTCTGCTGACACTCAACAGTGGTGCATCCAGTGCCAACCCGTGGGAGGGGCAAAGTACCCCCTTTTGCCTACTTACAGCGTGCCGCAAAGTGTTGCTTTTTTCTGCCTTTCAAAGGCGGCTACCTAGTGGTGGGTGCAGTTGTCCTCCCCCCCCCCCAAAAAAAAGAAAAATAATCTGGATCCGCGCTAGTACCTCCTCAATCTTCCGACGGACACGGCCTCTTTGAAGAAGCGCACGGCATGCGACGCGCCACCGTCTCCTCGCCTTTGCATTCATCTCGTTGCCCCCCCCCCCCTCGCACCCCCTGCCTCTCGTCTCCCCCCTCCCCCGGCGCGCTAAAATCCCCCCAGAGTGGTCGGCTGGGGCGCAGCGCAAGGGTGGGGTTAAGTAGAACGGGGAGGGGTACGAGGGAAGTTATCGAGAAGGCCAAGGGGCACAGCCCGTGTGGAACGCGATCGCAGATTGGGGTCTGAACAGTGTCATAATGGCACTACCCCACGACGACGTCAGTACGACCTCAGTCCGACGCCTCTCGTACGCCAGTGTGGCGATCGGGGCTAGTCTCTGTGGTCAGAGTCGGCGTCCAACTGGCGTCGTAATGCCGTCGTGCTGCCGTCGTCTTTGGGTCGCAAAAAAGTTCGTTTTTCGGACGCTAGTCAGACACCAGTACGACGTCGCTTTTTCAGCGCGAAAAATGTCGCGCGACCGTCAAAACAACCGGCTGGGAGTGAGTCGAACACAGAACTCCCGCGTCGAATGTCGGTGCCCGAACCCGCTGGGCCAGAGCGACTTCGTTGAGGGCAGGGGGACCGCAGCTCTAGTCTTCTTGACTCGACCCACCATGGCACGGGCCACAGAGTATTGACGCCAGAGTACTATTTCTTTCCGGCCATCGGATGCGGTACGCACGAGTTGAACCGATATCAAATACACATTTAACTTAGTTGTCATGCTCTGTAAATCTGTTGGCCGTAGGCTATCTGTAGTTGCTCGCTGCGAAAGAAACATAGCAAAAGATGCTGTACTCGTGGCCCGTGCCATGGTGGGTCGAGTCAAGAAGACTAGAGCTGCGGTCCCCCCGCCCTCAACGAAGTCGCTCTGGCCCAGCGGGTTCGGGCACCGACATTCGACGCGGGAGTTCTGTGTTCGACTCACTCCCAGCCGGTTGTTTTGACGGTCGCGCGACATTTTTCGCGCTGAAAAAGCGACGTCGTACTGGTGTCTGACTAGCGTCCGAAAAACGAACTTTTTTGCGACCCAAAGACGACGGCAGCACGACGGCATTACGACGCCAGTTGGACGCCGACTCTGACCACAGAGACTAGCCCCGATCGCCACACTGGCGTACGAGAGGCGTCAGACTGAGGTCGTACTGACGTCGTCGTGGGGTAGTGCCATTATGACACTGTTCAGACCCCAATCTGCGATCGCGTTCCACACGGGAGGCATGCCGATGGCACTGCGGCGGCAGCCGAGGGGGCAAGGGGGAGGGGGAGGGGGGAATCGGGAGCTCTTGTCCGGTCTCGCTGCTGATGGGTTGGAGTCACGAACGATGAGACGCCGCTGCAATCCCAGCGAGTCTCGGTGCCGCCTTGCCCGACTCTAAACGCGTTTTGAGCTCCAGAGTCGCTAAATGGGACTCGAACCGAACGTGTGACCCCACCAATGGATTGCTATCCGAACGAGGAATCCATTGGTGGGGTCACACGTTCGGTTCGAGTCCTGCTTAGTGACTCTGGAGCTCAAAACGCGTCTAGGATTTTGGCCGCCTCCACCGGTCTTCTGGCCCACTTGCCCGGCCTTGCCGCATGGTGCGTGTCTGGTTGTCCAGGACCTCGCCCGCACGCACGGCATCGCCATCTCCGACATCTGCGAGTTTTCCGACTACATCCCCCGCCACATCGAGGAGATGGAGGCCATCGTGGAGAAGACGTACGAGACGACTCGAGGTGGGTGAGACCACGCGCATCACGCGCCCCTCAGGACACTCATTCCGAGAGCCGTTCCCGTCGCACAGTGGGCCAGAAGACCAGTTGAGCGGCCAAAATTCGAGACGCGTTTTGAGCTCCAGAGTCGCTAAATGGGACTCGAACCGACCGTGTGACCCCACCAATGGATAGCTCTCCGAGCGAGGAATCCATTGGTGGGGTCACACGTTCGGTTGGTATCCCGTTTGGCGACTCTGGAGCTCAAAACGCGTCTAGAATTTTGGCCGCTCCACCGGTCTTCTAGCCCACTGTGCGTCGCGCCGTCTCTCTCGCTCCTGCACGGGACGCCTCACGAGTGCGAGAGAGTCGGAGCGACGAAAACGGCCCCCGGAATCGGTCCATCTGTATCTCTGTGTGCGTGTTGCAGTGTACGTGTTCGTCGGCGAGCACGTGGCGCTGGTGGACTTCGTGATGGTGCTGCACCGACGCGGGCTGCTGGAGAAGGGCGAGTACGTGGTCATCTCGGTGGACGACGAGATCTACGACCCCGAGTCCAAGCACAAGATTGTCCAGCGAGGTGCGGCGCCGGCCAGCCGAGCCATTCAGCAGAGTCGGTTCGTCGCTCTGTCTCTCTCGCACTCGTGGGGCTCTCCGTGAGGGTGCGAGAGAGACAGAGCGACGAACCGATCTTTTGAATCGCTCGGCAGCACGATCCCCCCTCCCCCTTTCCTTTCGCCCCGTCGCCGACGACCTGCTCACATTTCACTTTTATTTTGCAGAGTACCTGGACCCGTTCCTCCGCAACGGCACCGCGTCCAGCGCCGAGGACGCCGCCGTCGGCTTTCGCTCCGTGCTCAAGCTCACGCCCGGCCACCCCCGCAACCCCAAGTACAAGTAAGCGGTGGCGGCCGCATTGGCTTTGCTTCTGTTTCTGAACGACTTCATTTTTACTGAGTCTATGTAGCTTGACCCACCTCAAAGTTGACCTACCTATATATTAATTAATAAAAATATTAATATAAATATTAGAATATAAATATGGGAATATAAATAGGAGTAATATAAATATTACCAAAAAAAGTTGACCCACCCCAGAGTTGACCTACCCTATATTTTTGACTTGACCGACGAAGCGCGACGGCCTCGCGGCAGGGGAAGCGCGACGGCCTCGCGGCAGGAGAAGCGCGACGGCCTCGCGGCAGAAGAAGCGCGACGGCCTCGCGGCAGGGGAAGCGCGACGGCCTCGCAGCAGGAGAACCGCGACAGTGTCGCGGCAGGGGAAGCGCGACGGCCTCGCGGCAGAGGAAGCGCGACGGCCTCGCGGCAGAAGAATCGTCGCGGCAGGGGAAACGCGACGGCCTCGCAGCAGGAGAACCGCGACAGTGTCGCGGCAGGGGAAGCGCGACGGCCTCGCGGCAGGGGAAGCGCGACAGTGTCGCGGCAAAGGAAGCGCGATAGTGTCGCGGCAGGGGAAGCGCGACAGTGTCGCGGCAGGGGAAGCGCGACGGCCTCGCGGCCAGGGCCGCCGGAAGTACTTTCTGGTGGGGGGGGGGGCGAAATTTTTATGAAAAATTGTTGGGTTGCCTACCGTTAAGGGGCAACACCCAATACGGTTTAGACTTCTCTAATAGTGTTCCAAATCCAGCAAACGAAGCAAGCTTAAAGCGAAAATTCACACAATTCTAGACTTTAACACAACTTTTGCCATTTTTAGAGCTTAATCACACGCTTTATTGGTGGGCGAAGCGAGCCAAACGGCAAAATAATGGAGGAAAATTAAGAAAACCTGCGAGCGAAGCGAGAAAGAAGCCAAAAATCAAAGAATTTGCGACATAGCTATATTTTTCTCTCTATTTCGAGCTCAAAATGGCACTTTAGTGTCTGAAAGTGGGGGGCGATGCCAAACAGCGAGGCTGTGCCAGCGTCAAACAGCGAGGCTGTGCCAGCCTCACACAGCGAGGCTGTGCCAGCGTCAAACAGCGAGGCTGTGCCAGCGTCAAACAGCGAGGCTGTGCCAGCGTCCAAAAGCGAGGCTGTGCCAGCGTCAAACAGCGAGGCTGTGCCAGCCTCACACAGCGAGGCTGTGCCAGCGTCAAACAGCGAGGCTGTGCCAGCGTCAAACAGCGAGGCTGTGCCAGCTTCAAACCAAACAGCGAGGCTGTGGCAGCGTCAAACAGCGAGGCTGTGCCAGCCTCACACAGCGAGGCTGTGCCAGCCTCACACAGCGAGGCTGTGCTAGCGTCAAACAGCGAGGCTGTGCCAGCCTCACACAGCGAGGCTGTGCCAGCGTCAAACAGCGAGGCTGTGCCAGCGTCAAACAGCGAGGCTGTGCCAGCGTCAAACAGCGAGGCTGTGCCAGTGTCAAACCGAGGCTGTGCCAGCGTCAGACAGCGAGGCTGTGCCAGCGTCAACAGCGAGGCTGTGCCAGCCTCAACAGCGAGGCTGTGCCAGCGTCAAACAGCGAGGCTGTGCCAGCGTCAAACAGCGAGGCTGTGCCAGCGTCAAACAGCGAGGCTGTGCCAGCGTCAAACAGCGAGGCTGTGCCAGCGTCAAACAGCGAGGCTGTGCCAGCCTCACACAGCGAGGCTGTGGCAGCCTCACACAGCGGGGCTGTGCCAGCGTCAAACAGCGAGGCTGTGCCAGCGTCAGACAGTGAGGCTGTGCCGGCGTCAAACAGCGAGGCTGTGCCAGCGTCAAACAGCGAGGCTGTGTCAGCCTCACACAGCGAGGCTGTGCCAGCCTCACACAGCGGGGCTGTGCCAGCGTCAAACAGCGGGGCTGTGCCAGTGTCAAACAGCGAGGCTGTGCCAGCGTCAAACAGCGAGGCTGTGCCAGCCTCACACAGCGAGGCTGTGGCAGCCTCACACAGCGGGGCTGTGCCAGCGTCAAACAGCGAGGCTGTGCCAGCGTCAAACAGCGAGGCTGTGCCAGCCTCACACAGCGAGGCTGTGCCAGCGTCAAACAGCGAGGCTGTGCCAGCGTCAAACAGCGAGGCTGTGCCAGGCTCACACAGCGAGGCTGTGCCAGCCTCACACAGCGACGCTGTGCCAGCCTTACACAGCGAGGCTGTGCCAGCCTCACACAGCGAGGCTGTGCCAGCCTCACACAGCGAGGCTGTGCCAGCGTCAAACAGCGAGGCTGTTCCAGCGTCAAACAGCGAGGCTGTGCCAGCGTCAAACAGCGAGGCTGTGCCAGCCTCACACAGCGAGGCTGTGGCAGCCTCACACAGCGGGGCTGTGCCAGCGTCAAACAGCGAGGCTGTGCCAGCGTCAAACAGCGAGGCTGTGCCAGCCTCACACAGCGAGGCTGTGCCAGCGTCAAACAGCGAGGCTGTGCCAGGCTCACACAGCGAGGCTGTGCCAGCCTCACACAGCGACGCTGTGCCAGCCTTACACAGCGAGGCTGTGCCAGCCTCACACAGCGCGGCTGTGCCAGCCTCACACAGCGAGGCTGTGCCAGCGTCAAACAGCGAGGCTGTTCCAGCGTCAAACAGCGAGGCTGTGCCAGCGTCAAACAGCGAGGCTGTGCCAGCCTCACACAGCGAGGCTGTGCCAGCCTCACACAGCGAGGCTGTGCCAGCCTCAACAGCAGGCTGTGCCAGCTCAACAGCGAGGCTGTGCCAGCCTCACACAGCGAGG